GTTCTGTTAGACTGTCTGTTCCTTGCCTGGCAGTCTCTTTGAGTTTGTCTTGCAATTGTGTTTTCTGCTTGGCACCAAGGAGAAGTTGTAACTAGTTCAGCCTGCAGACACACTTTTGCTGCCTGGTGTGATGAACGAGTTCCATTGTGCCCATCCCCAGAGGAATCCACTGCCTCTTTATTTGCTGCTGGCTACAATTCAAGAGGCTGACTGCTAGCTGTACCACTTTTGTGAGCTGTGACTAGAACGATACTCTCCTTTCCTATGTTTCAGTATAAAAACCAAATTTATAGAGGCTTGAGCGGTCAGGAGTAGAAGGTAGGCAATATTTGCAGGAGCCCTTGTCCTTCAATCAGCCTGTTTTGATGATCGCAGTAGAGCCATGGTCTTACGCTCTCCCTCATGGTGTGTGGTAGAAGGTTACTTTTTGTTCATTATTGATTGCCTTACTGAACAGAGCTGTAGTTTAAAATTGGAGATGTTCATGTAATTTCGAAATAATATCTAGAAGCTATATGGCTAGCTGTGTTGTCATGATAGGTTTTACTTTTCAACTCTGTGGTTTGCAGCAAAGGTGTCTTGTCCATAGCTGCATAATTATTTATTCTTTCTGAGAGTTGTAGCAGAAAAACTCCATATTTTCTAGGGACTATTTTAAGTGAAAGACCATGTCTACAGATTAATATATGCAACTTCATTAAAGCTAGCTAAATTGAACAGGCTAAATTGTGAACACCTAACAACTGTAAGTTACACTGATAACTCATTCAAATATTTTCATTTACTCAATGACTTGCAGGACAGTAAATTTTGCTGTACTTTGATTTTGCACAATAGCCTTTTGTTATTTTGCCATTTTATCAATTAGCATGGAGGCCTAGCTGCATCATAGAATCATTAAGAATCACAGAATCATTTAGGTTGGAAACACCTTTAAGATCATCAAGTTGAACCATAAATCATGTCAGTCTTCAGCCTCTGGTTGACAAGAAGATGTTACTTGGTAGGAAATTCATCTCAGTTGTCATCTGAATTGTTTTCCTAGAATACCTGTATCTCCATGTTGACAACACAGGTAACCTGAGTTCCTTCCTTCAGGTACTCTGAAGTTTGAGAGGTGGATAATGACTCTTTTTTCTTTATTATTTCATTTGTGTTTTGTTTTTAGATGAAAGTAGATTCTACCACATGACTCCATGAGCTAAGGCTTCACTATTATAGTGTAATACTACAATGATGAGTTTTGGCAACACTGGTGGGGATCCCAAAACTGAAAACTCTGCAATGACAGAACATTTTGATTCCAAAAGGTTGAACCCACAACCTGTGTGTTCTGATACTTATTAAGCTACAGCAACTGGGAGAATTAAAACATTTCGAAATAGGACTTACATCAAGCAAAAGCTTGAAGGAAAGCTTGCAAAAATATCCAAGGGAAAATTCTCAGCAAGGTGCAATTTAATACATCACTTCTCTAGGACACAGGAAGCTGCATCAGATTGCAGTTTATAGCCAAAACCCACTCCTGGGGTTTTGGAAATTGGCAGCAGGTGTAGTCTTTATTTTTCAAATGTTTCTTTGACAGGAGAAAACCACCTTTCATGTAAGACTACAGGTTAAATCTGGACACTGAACTTCGAAGAGAAATCCTGAGTGCAAGTTCTTGTTTTCAATCATGTCTGGTTTTGAAGTTTATTCATTCACATCCTAATACAAAATATAAAGACTGTCCTGGGATCAAAACCCAAAAAGTCATTCTTGCAGGGATGATCTAAATGATTCCTGTCAGACAGGTGCATATTTGGATTCCTTCAGGTTGGATACAGATAGGCAGGTAGCCTAGGGGAGTGCCCTCACCATTGAGTTTCTCTGATAAAATGCCTTGTACTGCCTTTCCTTCCAGCAACGGATTTGAACAAGGTCGGGCTGTATTTTTTTTTTTTTTTAAGTTGGTGCTGTTAGCATGTTAGTTGTTTTCTGAGAGTTCTTACTGGGTTGAGCCTTAGATATACAGATCTAGATTTGGCCTAGGTACTTGCAGAAACAGCATTTTAGGTGTCACAGATCCTTTACTGGAGAAAATATAGGTGTTTACAACTTTTCAGCCAGCTGAGATGGTGTCTGAGGCAAGACTTTAGACGTCACTCTTAACTTAGAAATATTCAGTTTCTACCAGAGCCCCAGGGAAGGGAAGGTGCTCATTTCAGAAGTCTCTTTCTGAGAGATTCTTTCCTCAGAGGAAATGGCAGTTGCAGTTCAGCATAGTCATTGTCAGGTGCCTAATTTTCATTCATGAATACTCTCTACATCGTTGGAACTATTAACCTGCTTAATGTAACATATTTAAGTGACCTTTTTACTGAGACTTCATCCCAGGCAAAACTGGGATCCTAAGATACTGGGTGAATGCAAAGCTATCCAAAGCTGTTACACTACCCAGACATCCAGAGTAGGACATCTGTGGTACTTTTGGGCAGAGTACAGTATTCAGGTTTCACTCTTCCTCATATCCCCCTCCCCCCCCCCAAAAAAAAAAAGGCAGACTATTGCTATGCTTTTCATAACTACATGCCAGTTTGTCCAGTCTAGCAATCTGCATCCAGGAGCAGCCAAGTAATTGTGTTGACATCAATTTTTTTGACTTGGTAAATACCTACAGCTTCATGTGCTGCGCGCTGTCAGGAGCACTACTGTACATGCCAGAGAGAGGAGGAAAGACCCAGGTTTGATTCAGAGGTGGGATATGATTTGAAGGAATCTTGTTTCAGTGTCCTAATAGATATTGTTTGTGAGAACACACAAATAGTGTTTACAGGCAGACAACCATCTCTAGTACAGAGGAGCATGGAATGACAAAGAGCTTTTGTTTATAGCAAAAAATGAGTATTGCCTAAGAAGTAGTGTTTATGGTAATTGAGCTTTACAAGGAAGTTAAACTTAGTGGGGAACACAGGGGGTAGCATTTGCAGTGAAGCAGGTAATAGGGAGAGCTGTGTAGGCATTTCCTGATTAGCATCTGCTGTTTCAACAGCTGAGGAACATGACTGGGATGTAAATGCTTGTGCTAGGCTTCAAAAGGCATTCCCTCTAGCACGCCACCCTGCCTTCTGGTTTTATTTTGAGTCTCCTTGAGCCTTACTGTGATTTGGAATCAGTGGAGGAGAAAGGAGAGTAACACAAACAACAGATGTCTTAAAGGCTTGGAACAGAGAGAGAAAAAGCCCGGTGGCAAAGGAGAAGGTGCAGTTAAGGTATTTCCTGTTGGTTTTTGGTGCCTCTGGTACAGACTGTTTGTATTTCTGCAAGCATATATAAATGCAGCTGTGCACATAGGTGGTAAAGAAGTGGCAGTGCAAAAAGACAGCCATTGCACACATCTGAGAATATTTTTTGCATCCTATAAATTGAGTGTGACCTATAGACACTAAGCGTACTTGCTCACAGAGACAAAGCAACCTATTTTAAGGCAGGTTCACAAATTATTTCCTAGCTGCTGCAGCAACTGTTTTTAGGATGTTGCTGGATAAAATATACTAAATTATTTTTACTTGACATTAAAAGTTACTTCATAATTGAGAAAGCTAATAGTATGCACGGTATCAATCAAGACAGCTTGCTTACAGGTGGTAACTTAAGGCATGGCAACACAAACACTGTGTACCCCGTAACATTAGGAGAATAATAACCAGCATTGGTTATGCTGACAGTTAGAACAATTATGTGACAGTGCGGATTCAGAAAAGTACTTCATCTGTGCTTTCTGGTATGGTGAACTGTGTCTTTAAGGACTTTGATTCCCAGAAAGGAAATCTGTGATAGAAATGGTTGTGAAATTCTTACAATATATAGACAACTAAGGGTGGCATAGAGACCCTGAAAACACATTACCTGCTGAGCGTTAACTCAGTACTGCATGGGGCCAGGAACAAAAAGAAATGGGGGAGGGAAAGGAAAAAGAAAAAAAAAAAATACTGCAAAAGGAGAAGTGAAAACATATGATGTTTTCAGATTTTTACTTCTTGGGAAAGAGGCTGAGAACTTTGTGCTCTAAAAGCTTAGAAAGCTACCTTCCACTTTCCCACATCTGCCTCCTCCTTTCATGTCTGATATCTTCCACAGGTTTCAGCAGATGGGCCCAAAGACAGAAAATCACATTCACACAGCTTCCTATTTTCTCATGATATTTCAAATGTTATTTTATTTGCTTGTTAACTTGCTGGGTTTTTTCAAAGGATTTTGGTAAACTCCGTCTCAATACATGTTCACATTGTTTATTTTGTTACTATTACTTGTGTTTCTTAAAAATTACACTTAAATTATTATTTGGCTACTGGGCTGCAGAAGTTTGTGCTTAGGTTAACCTTAGTAAAGAGTTTAGGACAACTCCTCTGTTACTGATTGTGACTTCTGAAAAGCATTCCAGTTTTGGGATGAATGCTGAGGATGTCAGTCGGAATTATTTTTCTTTGTACAGAAATTTGTACATCAAAATAATGTTTTCCTGTGGTGTTTTAGGCCATACATACTCTAGGAAATAGTATACATTTTAATTGTTGGTAGCAGCATTTTTTAAGCATCAAATATTAGTTGCTATAAAACAAAGAGGGAGTTGTTTGCATTTAGTATGTTAAAACGGAACAATTGTTTTCTCATTAATACTGTTTTAGCATAGACTTTCTTAGTCTTTACTAGGATATCCTATCGGAAAAATAAGCACAATAATATATGCCTGTATTTTAAATAGTATTTTTATGCCTGTGTCACTTCCTCTCTACTTTGAAAGAAATACTATCCCTGTTGCACAGATGGGAAAATAAAGGCATCCATGAGAGCTGAAATAACTTCACCTGGAGGTCATCTCGAGGAAGACAGATCTCCTGGTCTCAAGGCAGAACCTTATTATAAATCATATATTAAACTTATGAAGAGGTATTTTTGAGTTAACAAAACAGAAGCCACACTTTAAAGATATCATTTAACATTTACTTTTCCTCACACAGGAACTTTTTACACCGGAGTGCAAATTCAAGGAGTCTGTTTTTGAAAATTATTATGTAATCTACTCATCCATGCTCTACAGACAACAGGAGTCCGGGAGAGCCTGGTTCTTGGGGCTGAACAAAGAAGGGCAGGTCATGAAAGGAAACAGAGTGAAGAAAACAAAACCAGCAGCTCATTTTCTACCCAAGCCATTGGAAGGTGAGGTTCAGTCCACCGTTGGCAGCTCCTCCTATAAATCGCACAGGAAGAAGAGGGAATATTTGCTAAACAAAACACTCTGTGAATGTGCGTGCCCTGCACCGGGGCCATTCCAAATGACAGTCCCCAGGATTCATGGAGTGGTTTTGTGCTTTGACGTAGTGATGCTAGAAATGGCACATGTTAAAAGCCTTTTTTTTCCAGGGATTAAGAGGTCATTTTGCAAGAAAAGAAATCTTTTGTGGAAGTGCATTATGCTGTTTTTAAAACATTCTCTCGCTAGGGACAAAAGCTGTTGTGAGTCTTGCAGTGAGAAAACAGTCCTTTCATTAAGCAGAATGAAATAATGGATATTGTAGGATAATTGAGAGTTATAAAGGGAATGGATGAAATGTCAGCATTTCAAAGTAAAAGCTTTCTAATACAAAACACAAAGGTCTCTTTATAAAATAAAACATCCTGTATTACTTAACTAGTTGATGTCATGCACCTAATGTGTAAGTTGTTCTTTAAACCAAGATAGAGGCAAATGAAAAGTCATACTAACCTTACACACTAAAATGATGTCACACATTCTTTGAAAAACACATTCATTTCTATCTTGGAACCTTTGGGTTATCCTATGTATTCTGCAGGCCTTTATAAACCTATGCTACTTTTTCCTTTTGTCCTAATGGCATTCCAGATTTCATTGATATTATTGCTACACATAGCCTCAGTCATTCTGAAAATGATATCATTACTTAACAGCTGAAAACACACACCAGAGTAATGCTTTAGTTAGCAGTCCCATTTCTTTATAACATTTTAACTTAAAATTTTTCATTAAAGGATCAGTTTGTTAAATGTTTTAGAGTTTCATCATAAAGAAAGAATCTGAATAATCCCATGTTCTAACTTCATATTTGAACTCAGGTTCATGCCTTCATGCTTCTCTCATCTTGCAAAAGCTTACAGTTATTTTCATGAGCTCTCAACAATACCACAACTTTATATGTTAATCCCTTTCTATTAAATTTTAAGAATTGTAAGGAGGAGTGTTTTCAAAAGCAACATCAATTCACCTGGATTAGGAAAGAAGTGACTTTTTTCATTAATGTTTGGATGCTCCAACTCTATCAAAATAGCTTAGACAAGGCTTAGAAATAACTTACTTTACATTGCCCATGAGAGCCATCAAATATGACAGCTCTGCTATATAATTCCTTACTCCATAGTTCCATCTCACGTTATTCGACGTAGTATTTTTGTAGGTCACGGTGTTATTTCAACAAGCTCTTTTAATTAATCAGTAAAGTGTCCTAAACAGAGCTATGGGAGCACTCTGAAGACCTCGCTCATAACCAGCCTTACGTACTCTAGAGAAGATGTTTAATTTCAGACTTTCAGAAGCCATAAAAGGATTTAGATTATGTCATTGGAAATGTTAGAACAAGTATTTGATTAGTTAATGATGCTATGGGGCCCTTCATATTTATTATGAAACTTCACACCATTGAAGATCAAGGTCAGTACTTTGATGCTCCTGCCTCCCTACTCTAATTAGACAAGGGATGAAGGGATTGTGCTCTCTATGGCAGCAGACAGCCAGTCCCAAAATCATAGTGTGATGATTAAGTCCTTTGACTGTGTTTACATCTCTTTTAACATTGTTGTGATATAAATAAATGCTGCTGAAGTTAGGTATAAGTGGAAATATTACCTGATTCAGTGACATGGAAAATGAAATTGTATTATCCAAGAGCATAATCATTAAGGCAGTTTAATGCTGGAACTGTGTAATTGAACACATGTATTTTCCTCAAAGGATTTAAAGCAGTTAGATAGGGACTGAGGCCCAGGGGCAAACTTTTAATTCCTTTAAGAATTCAGTTAATAGTTTAATTTGGAGTTTTCTACATGTCTACATTCAGTGGAAATCAGTGGCTACTGCATACAGTTTTGGAATGGAGGAAGAAAAAACCCAAACCTCTTGTGTACTCTACACAGCACTGTCATGGACATTTCTTCAGTACACACCTGAAGAGATCATGGCCAAGCTCCTCAGATGTGGGAAATAGATGTACTTGGTAAAACTGGACCCAAGCTTAGTCTTGCAACATAGGATTAAAAAAGAACACTTAAGTCTAGATAACTGTATCATATGATCCCATTTGTTAAACACCATCGGTCTTATACTATTTTACTTCTAAAATCTTGCAGAATATTTATTTAAGGGGTGTGTGTATATATATACATGTATATATGTGTACATATATATATACATTTTTGTGTCTGCCTCATACAAAGATAGTAGTTTTTTCACTTCCAAGACTTCTATATTTTCCATTAAACAAGCAGGCATGCAGTTTTCTACTGTGTTTTTAGTCAGATATGGAAGTGAGAAATCTGGAGGGTCAAGGAAAGCTATCAGTCATGCAAAACAAGTGTCTGTCAAAGTAAACAGTTTCCCTCGCATGCAAGATGAACACGGATTATATTACAGTTTCAGTTACTGGAGAAAATTAATCCAAATTGAAATGAGCTCTTAAATGAGACACATTCTTAAAAATGTCTGTCCTTTTCTCTTTTTTCCCTGCAGTTGCCATGTATCGAGAACCATCTTTGCATGATATTGGAGAAACAGTGCCAAAGGCTGGGGTAACTCCAAGTAAAAGCACAAGTGCATCTGCAATAATGAATGGCGGCAAACCAGTTAACAAGAGTAAGACAACATAGCCAGATCCTCACAGGTGTTGTGACTTACTGAGTTCTGAGTACAGTTGAGTGATTTATCCTTGCCAGACTTCCCCTCTGCAGTGTCCGTGGATCAGCTTGTGGCAGGTCACAGACTTGCCCATTGCTGTTTCAGAACTGAGTTGTTGCAAGCGGATAAATCTCAACATGTAGCTCCACCCACAACAAGAAGACACCTGGACGAACCAGCTAAACTCAGACCATGGAATGCCCTACCAGATATTGGAATGCCTTTTTAATATCTTTTCTGTGACTGTGACACTTCATGTGAATGACATACTTCACAAGTACACTTGATACCTTGCCTGCTGACAATTGCCCATAATCCCTTTTTGAGTCCAGTTTACGCAAAACCCATGTGTTTAAGTTCTATTTTGTAGCACACAAATAATCAAGTAATTTCTAGTTAGATGCTGTAAACCTGTGCTATTATGGATTTCTCTTCTTCCCTTTTTTATAAGGCTGCTCACTCCACTGTCTGTGACCTTTTGCAGGGATTGTGTTTCTCTAGAACTTAAGTGTTGCCGGTGGCTTAGTTCTGAAAGCAATCAGGGAATCAGGAAGCCTTCAAAAATCTATTATTACAAATTATATCTATAAAGAATAGGATTGTTGTCTCTGGCTTACAATATTGATTAAATGTGAATACTCTTTAGTAACAAATACTGTGCTTCTGAGGTTGGCATTATAGTGGAGGGAAGAGTGTCAAACACAAGCAACAGGAAGTTTTATGAAACGAGTGTTTGGCATCCCCCTATAGTTTCTTTTTGTGTGTGTGTTTTATACATATCACAGGCTTACTGGTAATGGTAACATTTGCCTTGCCCAGCGAGCAAGACCCACGCATTTTTGGGAAAGTGGGTCCAAAGAATTTTGTAGGCCTTGTAGGCCTGAATTAAGGCTCATTTTTCATCTACTAATTCTTCATTGTTTGAAAAACAACCACTACTACTAAAAAAAAAATGAATAAGACTAACCAGAATTGCGCTACCTAAATCCATTTCAAATATAATCCTTTCCTGTTTTTAAGGAACTGAACTTAATGCCATTGTTATTTTTGGCTGAATCCCACACCTACTTAGCAAAGCATGGGCAAGGATGTTGTTGTGTTCTTTTTAGCAGCACCAATGCAAAGGGTAGTTACAAATTATAGTTTAAAATTTCTGGTGTTTAAAAAAAAAAAGTTTTAAAACTGGACACATTACAAAACTTTATTTTTACTTTTAGCTAAGCATGCAAAGTCCAGTCCTATGTATCTCACTGATATCCCAGTACATACCTCCACCCAGCTTCCTAGGATAATATGCCCACCAAATTACTAGATTGAAGGTGCCTTGCCTTGATCTCTGTATACTGTACTTTCTCCTACATGAACCTAGAAAAAAAATAAGAAACATTACAAAATTGAAGCCTTGGATCATATTACCAGAAACACTATCAACACTTGGAGTTTGTCACTTGTGAACAATGAAACCAATGTTAGGGAGGAGGGAAAGATTTAGAGAAAGCCACAGAGATGCTGCTGTTGCACTCTTAGTCACAGGCTTTCAGGAGACTAAAAATATGCGTACTCTGTATGGTTAAGAAGGTATTTGTTTTTTAGAAAGGGCAACAAGGACCAAACTGTACCTCAATCTGGAAAACTGTGTGGCAATGCTGTCTTGACCTCTTGCTGTTACATTGATATTTAAAAACGAAAAAAATGGAAATCATCCATTCCTTTTTTAGCATTGTGTTTCTGGCAATTTGTTTTATCACGTCTTTGTGCTGAAGTCCCTAACAGAGATGGCTGGTTATTTCAAACTCCCTGTCTGCTGAGCTGAATAATTGATTCAGTCTGAATGAACTCTTCATGCTAGTTTTTAAATGTGTTCTGTTTTTATAAGCAACACTTAGCGCACTCTTCAAAGAGGCTACTCTAAAGCTGCTAAATTCTAGATTTTTTTTTTTTTTTTTTTGTAGGCCAGACTTCCTTGTCTATGTATGTAATATGAGAACAGTAAGCTAACACTTGATGTTGGGTCTTTCTAGGGAGAGAATGAGTTAAGCATGAAACCCACTGTCCATGTAGAGAAAAAAAAAATACAAACCTACTCTAATACTGTGATAAAAATGCAAAGAAACTTTGACTTAAATTGTGCCCTTGCCTGCTAGCACTAAATACGTGCACACAGGAAAAACAACATTTTATTAAAAACTCCATTGCACCATTCTCATCCCACCTGGTCCAGTGGGATTTGTGCACCAGGCCTGAGAAAACAAAACAAAACCAAAGCAACTCACATGGTGAGCTGGGGCCTGGCTCTGCATCTGGAGGACCCATGGGAAGCAGCCGCCTCAATGTTACACTATTTGCTGGGTCCCAGAGGAGGCCCCAGGCTTTCTTACAATCGTAAGAGGAGCACTTCACGATATTTTGAGTAAGCTAATAGAGCTGAAGGCTGCATTCTCTTTGTCTCTTATCTGAATTTGTAAGAGTTCATGAGGAAGGAATACCTGCATTCATCTCCCATCTAGCTGTCTTTTTACTATCCCAGCGTTAAGAGCCTGGGGAGAGACAGGGCTGGAGACCTGGCTGAGCCATGCGGGGAGGTTCTGGTTCATGGCCTGATGCTACATAAGTATTGTTTTCATCATTAAACGTCTGATCCTGGTAATTATGATCTGCAAACCAGTTTAGGGGGAGCTATAATTCAGGCTAAATTTAATTTTTGTAAGCAGTTAGTCCATGCTGGAAATACAGCTTTTTATTATTATTTTTGCTTTTGTTTCTATGAGCTAAATCCATATATGTGTTTAACCCAATGAATAGACTCTCTAAAAAATATTTTTTCCACAGTATGTTTAAACACAGCAAAGAGGTCTTTGTGCTTTTTTTCCTCCCTTTAATTTTGTCTTGTCTCATCTGTTGCATGGGAAGAGGATGGCAAGGGTGAACTGCATGTAGTAGGTTGTGTCTATCAAAGAACTGTTGGTCTGTATTACTACATTTACATACATATATGCAAAGAGTTTGTCTGTATTGTACAGTTTGTGTTTATTCTTATTTGCTGTATACACAGATTCAACATGATGAATAAAACATTTATATGAAGGCATACTGGAAAACAACAAAGTTTATGTAAGAAGTAGACTGTGCAAAACATCACTGCACTGGCCACAGGATGGTGAAACTTCATGTAAATAGGTTTGCAAGCTCAGTTCTCCCCTTTTACCATGCCAAAGAAAAATTTAGCTCCTTAATATAATACCTCTCTTATTGCTCTCCAGGATAAGACTTCATTTTTTTCCCTCCAAAATTAAGTTTGCTGTTAAGTGAAAGCTGTTTTCAACTGTCTGTTACTACTAAAGTACTGTATAGTAAACCTGATGGAATCAATTTGTATTTACAGATTGGGTTTTTTGTACTTATATGTCCAGCTGTCTGTGAATCTGCAGCGTTCCAGATCTTTTGCATGCTTGCTTTGTATTTTGTTCTTCTTCTGGGTTTTATCTTATCTCTGAGAGACTGCACAGCAATCCAAACTCATTTTACCATTTTATATGTTAACACTGCACAAAGTCATAATCTCTTTCTTTCTTTCTTTCTTTCTTTCTTTCTTTCTTTCTTTCTTTCTTTAATTTGTATTTCAGCTACAGTTCTATTTGGCAAAATCAGTTACACCTACACAGTTTTAGAAACCCAGTTTTTAGTAGATATGAACTACTTAAATGAAGCACCATTTTGTTGTACTTTAAAAATTTTATAAACACAAGAATCCTTATGAGATTGCTCACATGACAGAGCCTATAGAAAGGTGTCTATAGCTTTTAAGTGCTTTGTAGTTCACATAACACAGCTTTTGTTTAATTTGATGGGGTTTTAGCCACTCTCAAATAATTTTTCAATATGCTCTCATTTTCATAAACTTTAACTTGTGTAGAGTCAAGTTGGTTCTTAACAAAGCCCCTCCTCCCCAAATATAAAGTCAAGCAATTCACTTTGACTATAGTATATACCTGAAACAACACCAAGAACTCTGACTTTTTATGTGTATATATATAGGGAAACTTTTTCTCTTGATTTAAAACTACTGTAAGCAATGATATATGAAAGCAGGCAGTTTGGTCCATGCATTAAGTGTGTCTTGCAGATCCATCTGTTTATTGGTATAAAGAAGAAATTATTCAGCTCCATTTAAATGGGAACGCAAGTAAAATTAGAGTAAGTAAGGAGGTTATCTTTCTTTTAAATGCCCCTTTAGATAAACTCTTATTCTGTGCAATGCATTTTAAAATGTCTAACAACAGGGAGGTTTTTTTGTGATTACTAATGCAAATGTTATGACTTATTTTTAAAGACATAATAAATTTTCTGTTCTATTACTTAGTCACAGAAATATTCAACTTAGCTTTCTTCATCCCAGTATCATTTAGCTGTATCATTTAGATACAAAGTGAGATGTCATTCTCTAAAGCAAGGGCAGTGCATCAGAAATGTCAGAACAGGTACGTGAGTAAGCATTCACCTATGTGTTTCTAAAAGAGAGTAGGGTCAGGGAAAGAAAAGGATCACAAGTAGGCTAATAATTTATACAAGCACATCAATCCACAACTGTTTTATATGTGATATTACAGGTATGTTATATACAACAGGCATAATCCTGCAAGTCTATTATGGAAGCATTCCTCACACTTCTGGATTGTGTTCTTTCTCTCATAAGAAGAAAGCAAGACTATAGTGTATTTTGTTCATAAGGATTATCAGTATAGCCAGGACGAAATCCCCTGGCTATATCTAACTTGTCTTTGCCACAGGCCTGGAAGCAAGTTTTTACATTCACTAGATATGAAGAATCAAGCAGTATGTTTCACTTCCTTATGCCTCTTCCTGCTTTTACGGTTTATGTATTTGGAACTCCCATCACAGGGAACGAGGTGTAAAATCACAATTTATTAATACAGTTATTATTTTCACATATGTGGAATAATAACCTTATTCCTTCCAATCTCATTTTTCTAGTGAAGAAATGAGCCAGAAAACAGATCTGCTGAGTATTACATCATAAGTTACCTCAGCATGAAGAGCAGGGGGAATGGTCAAGCAACATTATAAAAACAGAATAAAAATTGGAAAGGAATTTATGTATACATTATATTTTTAGTAGTCTCAGTTAATACTTTAAGGGTTATAGTGATAGCACCATTTTGTTTGATAATTTACATTGTAATGAACCACTGAAAGTAGCTGACTTAGAATATTCTAATATTTTTCCATACACCTTAACAACTTGGATAACACTTTTAGAAATGCTATGGCTATGTAATCCATCCAGTAGCCAAAATGTTGGAGTTGATTGGGTTTTTTAAAAAAAAAAATTCTAACTAGAAGTCAGAATCATCTAGCAGTCTTTAAGGATATAAATTTAAAATTAAAGAAAATTAGTAAGTAAAATGCACCAAATATGACATTGCAACCCTTTAGAGAATTGTCATCTATGAATAAGAGTACCTGAAATACCACGGCTGATCTAAAGTATATATAAATCTGCATATCATGCCAAGAAACAGGTCAAAAGCATCTACTGAACCTAGATAAGAGTTTTGATTATCTAGTATTTTCTTATTACAGTACTAAATAAAAAAGGAAGGAAATCAAGGAAACTTTGTATCTTTCATTGTTTACACTCTGAATCAGCAGACCAATGTATATGCGAAAATACATTATAAGATGATTCAGGTCAGCGGTATATTCATAACATAAATAAAACCAACAATCTGTGATCTCCAGAGACCAGGGTTGACAAAATGCATATATGTTAATATTTAAGAAAATATTCATGTTAAGCTCTACAGAGTTTAAGGGTTATAATAGAAAATAAAATCATTTCAAGATGAATTTTACTTTGAAGATTCTTTATTCTGTATCAATACATTCTAGAACTCTGCCTGATATTTCGGTTATCTAAAAGGACAGTAGCTAGCAGCTTTGGGATGTATGTCTCATTATTTACCTGCATAATTTTTTGTAAGTTATGCATGGATGTTTGGTGATTATGTTCCCTGAGAACATGGGTTTCACAAGCTTCATTTTTAGAAAGAAAGAATCTAGGTTAAGGGAAAAAAATGTGTAAAAGAAAGAGAAAGGGAAGGGGAAATAGTAAAAGTGATGAAATAAATTAATTCAAAATTTTTGCA